TTGATAAAATCTCTTCCAGACATATTTAACAAGTCTTGTTATATTTCTCTGCAAATTTTCCTTGTTTTTTTTTTTAAATTTATTTAGACTTTATTTCACCAGGCAAGATATTGAGAACAAATTCTTATTTATAATGACGGCAGAAAATATTCGTAGGGGAGGAGGAAAACAAAAACACAAAGAAAACAAAGAAAACAAAAAAAGACTAATTAATCAAATTAAACAGAAGTAAAACATCAAGTATTGTTAAAAAAGATATATATATATATATATATATATATAAAAGAATAAGTCCCAATAACTCTCATTGCTTGTCTGTAAGCCAGTGAACTACACAGCCCCTGGGTACAATAAGCTTCCCCTATAGCACTAAAGGTGTAGGAAGACGGTGAGGGGGTGGCTGGGTAGAAGTGTTGACTAATGCTTCATAAGGCCTTGTTTAACTGTGACTGGGAGCCTAATCCCTCTCACCCCGTCTGCATGTCCCTGAGCCCTCCATGTTAATGCCTGTCCTATCATTACACCAGTCCAATTCACATGGTGTTGACACGAGCTGTCAGCGGATTAGGACAGAGCAAAAACACACGTTTCATTATGGCTTCAAAAGAGAAAAGAGGAGGAAGAGAAAAAAAAAAGAGGTGAATGCGTCATGTCTGCTAAAAAAGAACAAGGTAAAGACAGTTTCCTGTCAACAGAAAGCAGTAAAAGGAACATGTAAAGGTTGCTTCTCACCTTTAACCTTTTCTATGTTCTTGTGCTTCGTGACTCTTCAGCTACAGATCTTAGAGCTTGTTGCTTCAGCTGAAAATGCATTTCCTCAAAAATCTGGGTTTTTCCCCTCACACTGATTAGATCATTTTAACCAGTGGAACAAAAAAAGTCTTCAAAGCTGACACTAAAATTTTGTTTTGATTGCCCGACAATGCACATTTAAAAATAGACTATAGATAATTAAACTGAACATCTAACAAAAAAAGATAAAAGTATTTTTTTTTTTTTTTTATCACCAAAGATCATTTGTTATCCAGTTAAAAGTATCAGTTTGCTCATATACCTTCGCGAAGACGAGAAAGTTTTCTTACACCAAAATTGTGTGACATTGCGCAACGGAAGCCATTCATTCATTTCAGATGGAGAGAGTGGCAACCAACGTGACAAGCACTATGCTGATTTCTCCACCAGGTTGTGCAGCCAAAGTTTAACTAAAGGGAACTTTGACCCCAAATACACTGACCCACATGTGTCCAAGTGGGTTCTGGCATTAAGAGGATTCACAATAATTTTACTGCAGGGAAGATAGTAGAGGAGTCAACTTTGTGCGTCTCTGAATTCACTGAGTTCTGTAACTCTAGTGTCCAATCCCACCAGGATGTGAGGAAAAAAATCTGAAGCGGGACGGAAAATATTAGAGAGGATGGGTATATCGGGTTAGAAAATTAATTCTGAGGTAGGTTATATTCTGATGTAGTCCATAGAATACATTGCAGGGTTATTTCCTGCTGTTTTGTTTCCATGCCCTTTGCTCATCTCACAGTGAATATATACCTGCGGCGACAACACTGAAATTTCCAGCTGACCTCAGTTAACCTGTTGAAACCCCCTATATTCCCCTACATATCTCTTTGTTGTAGATATTTCCCTAAATTCCAACAAGTTACACAGATCTGAAACAGCTCGCCTAGTAGAGCTGAAATAATGACTTGATTCATTTTCAACATGAGATTATTCAAAAATTCTTTTGATGATCAATTAATTGTTTCAGTCACTTTTCAAACAAAAATGCTGAATATTCTGTGATTGAAGCTTCTCAGATGTGTGGATTTGCCGCTTTTTATCATCTTATAAACTGAACATCTTTGGATTTTAGACTGTTGGATAAAATCAGATATTGATTATTGAATAAATATTCTTTAAAAATAATTGATGATAAAATACACTGTATGCAACCCTATCCCTTATCGATAACAGAGTGGGACGACTACAGTTCATTTTGCATCTGTCAAAACCGACATAAAACAGCCGGTTTACAACCTTTTCAACTACTTGAGTAAACTTAGCCTGCTGCGAGTCATTTCAGAGGTTTCAGTTACACCACTTCAACAAACTGCTGTCCACAGGAAACGTCACTGATCACGTATGCATCAAACATTTTTATGCATCTTGCATACAGCAGGAAAACCCCAGCCTCTTCCTCTTTTTTGAAAACATGCTAAGTAATAAGAAAGGAAAACAGTACTTGTACACACGCACGTACACATGCACACACACACACACACACACACACGCTTTGATCTCTGATGTCACTTAGTGCTGTTCCACCTGAGCCTCACAGTGAACCGATCATTACCCGGTGGTATTGATCTCTGCCTGTGTCTCTCTGTCTTCTTCTCTCACCACACATTTTTCTGCCACAGCTCTACATTCACCTCTCTCCTCTCCACATCTCTTTATCAAACTGTCATTTACTCATCGGACCCCCCCCTCATTCTTCCTCTGTAATGCTTCTCCGCTGTCCCTCCCCTCTGTCTCTTTTTCTCTCATCTCAGATATGAGCGGATCATTTCCACTGAAATATGAAGCCTCCTCTGGCCACAGCTTTTTTTTAAAAAAAAAAAACAAAAAACTTGTATCTATTTTATTTATTCATTTAAAATACTCACATCCGGATGTGTGTCTCTCTAGACGCTGCTATCCTGAACAACAATTTAATTTGTCTGGGCTTCACTGGAAAAAAACTCATACACAGGCTATTTGTTTAGGCTGATCCTCTTGCAATCACATGTCCACCGGACTGAAGGGTCATCCGCATCAGCACCATCCTCAACAACCCATCCTCCCTCCCTCTGTGATCAGGGCTGGCAGTGACCAAGGCCCCCAGGGGACCAACATGGACACTTGGTATCAGCTCAATAAACAGCAATTTATTGGCAGGGGACTGAATATGCTGCCATCCTTGGAAGCTATCAGCAGAGCGCCGTATTGGTGCTGAGAGAGATTAATGAAGAGAGGGGAGAGGAGAGGGGCCACAGCAGCACGAGACGATATGTGATGCTGCACAGAAACATATTTCTGGTGGACGATTAGCTGTTTTTGTAACATCATATTCAGTCGCTAATATTTCTTTCTTCTTTTAAATTTGTAATAAGGAAACTAGAAAATACATATTAACAAAAGATTGTGTACATTTAGCTCTTGCCACATAAAGTGATTATTTGGTCCCAGACTGTTAAAAAAAAAAAAAAGTAAGAAAAAAAGACCTTGATACACATGTATGATGTGGCAGCAAAAACTGCCACGGAAACGAGTATGTGATGGGCATTATATATGTGCCTAATTAACCTTCCTGGCTTCCTCTCCCCCCACCTCATCAAACTAGTAAGACAAGTTGGACCAAATAGGCTTCATATGCAGCTGTTGCAGATAAAGAGAGTTTTGCATGTTTTTCATGAGCGAGCAAATTTAAAAGGAAGTCTAAAGAGAAATCTAGAACAGAATCTAGGGCCTTGTGTTACAGGGGCCCCACTGAAATTGTCATTTTGACCTGATTTTACTAGCCTACTATTAACATCACGTCTAATGCAACGTATATATAGAAATATAACTATAATTTAATTAATTAATATTAAATCAGTGGCTCCATGTATGTTTGTAACCTTTTAACAAATTAAGCAGCTTGGTAAACATGAATAAAGAGCCTGTGCACATTTTGATACAGAACCTAAAAAGGAGAGCGGAAGTCTCGCTCTCTGATTTCCACTTGAATTTGTTTCAGGTGACGGTGGAAAGTGACAGTAAACCGCTACAACTTCCGATCAGGCGCCCATGACTTCTAACCTGAACCTTGACCCTTACACTTCATTACTATTCCAGTCAGAGCAGATTTTAATTCATGAATTCATTTATCATCAAGTAAAAAAAAAAAAAAAAAATTGCTTACCTGTACCATTCCAGTCCCTTATCGTAGAAGCGGTCAAAGAAGTGCGGCTCTGCGCCCACGGCCCTCACGTCCGGATGGATGCGCAGGAACTCCAGCAGCGCCCGCGTGCCACCTTTCTTCACCCCGATGATGATGGCTTGAGGAAACTTTTTGCTGCCGAAATTATTGGCTATAGATATATTATTGGACGGAGCATCGCTGTTCGAGAAGTCCGACAGTTGTTCCCGTACAAGCGAGACCGGGGACGCGTTATACGCGCCGAGCTGCTCCGGTGACGCTTCCTGTCCATCATTTAAGATAATTTTATTTTGAAGATTAGTCTGTTGGTCATACACAGGCCTGGGCAAGGAGTCACAGTATCCGTTGAGGCAGTAAAAGAGGTATGTGAAGAGAATGATCATGGTAAAGAAGACGGACAGCTTGGACTGCACCTTCAGGTGTCCAAAGTTGAACGCAGCTCTCCATTTACTACATCCCATGAGTCGCAATCCTGATCACGAGGACACAACGCAGGAAACATGGCATATCAAAGGAACTCATACTACTGTCTTTCAGAAAGTCACTCAAACTGAGAGCACTTTAAAAAAATCATCGCGTTCGTGCCACAGCAGCAAGTGGCACAAAACTTGCCCACCGCGCGTTAAAACGCTCCACATGTTGCTCAGCTCATCTCACTCCCCCCCCCTCTGTCTTCCTCTGGATGTGACAACTTGCAGATTTTCTTCGACGACTTGAGCGAAGTTGCAACTGAGAGGCGGCTGTGAGTTTACGTCCCGCTGCGCTCCGTGCCTTCTGTGCGCTCCCGTGGCTCCTTGGCAGCGGCTCTATAGGAAACCCTCAACACCCCTTTCCGTCTGACTGCCAAATCCACGCCCTGTTTATCAAACACACGCCCCTTCCATCCTCAGCCCGCGCGACACTGAAATAACAGAGAAAATAATTAACAGGCGCAACGCACCCTCTCCAAGCTGACAGAGAGGGAGAAACTCTCATCTCGCATTATTTTGGAAGCAATTTTGAAGGAATACAGTCGTTAGTTTAATTGTATGTAATGCATTGGAAGAGAAGAAAAACGTTTGGACCATGATTAAGAGGGGATATTAGTTTCTGATTGCAGACTGAGGATGCAATTCCCCCCATTTCCCCTTCAAACCACCACATCCACCGTATAACTTACTTCATATTTGGAAACCTTATTATTGGCCGGAGCTCCAGGTTGACTCTTGGTCAGACTGTGGCTTGTGAATGGCAGGCTATAGTGGCCACCTGCTGTCTGCTAGCCCTCCTGACCCCACAGCCCCATGGAGCCATGCCGTGACACACATTTAACCTTTACACTCCTGCCCAATGGAGACAGACAGGTGTCATCAGCTTTCTCTATTTCCTTACTCCCTGTGTGTGTGTGTGTGTGTGTGTGTGTGTGTGTGTGTGTGTGTGTGTGCGTGTGTGTATGTGTGCATGTGTGAGACCATTGTAAACTTACGGTAAACATGCAGTGATCCAGACCACCATCAGTTTCTCTCCTCATCCACACCCACTTTTGTAATAAAGATAAATATTAGAAAAATAGTCGACTTATTATTTTAAACATTCATGACAGATTACTTATAAACATATTTAGACATTTATATTTAACACATTGTCAGACAGGTCAGGTTTTTGGAACAAATTCCTTCATATGTCCCTGGGAACAGGACACATCTATATTTTCAGCAATGAGACACAGAGATGAAATGTCTGGGATCCCTCCCTCTGGAGAGGGTGGACTATAGAGGTGTACTGCTGTGCTGAAAAGCCTGAACACAGCCCTGATTTATATCCACGAGCTAAAAGCGCTCACTGATGATCCTCACAGTTTACCACTGGTTCTTCCTCCTGGAAATAAATGACTGTCCTTGTCATTTTCCACGCTTTCTTCAGTGCTTTGCGAAAGTAAAAATAAGAAAACTTGGATTTCATTCAGTATTCTTATTTTTGACGTTTCTCTTAGTTTCAGTTTTCAGTTCACTTTTCAGTTTAACCAGTACTGTGTCACTGAAAGTAAAAACCAGATGATCATAAAGGCACATGACCCACTGAACTAGATCAGCACAGTGCTGATAAGTGGATAACTGAGGTTAACCATTGAACATTACATCACCCCAGTATTCCCCTTCAAAATTTCCTCACGCAGCTCCAACATACTACATATGTATTGAATGAAATATCAAATATAAGATGCACTGTTACTTTAGTTACCAAATGTTACTTCATCTTCTCATTTCATGTAATATGTAAGATGCTGTTATTATAGTTTGTTACCAATGTTCTGTTAAGTTCACAAATAGACGCAGAAAGACTTGAACAGTGTTTTTCTGTACAACACAAGCTCCTAAAGGTGGACCAGTTATCATTCCCAACACTGAGCTAACCCAGTGCTCTTTTTCTCATTTTAAATAAATTTACAAATATCCATGACATTACTTTGCATTTAGATTTATACGTAATCTGCCTTTTGCGGTGAGAAAAAAAATGTGTCTGAAAAAACCACATACAGTGTTAAACAAGGTGAACTATTATAGGTGCATTAGTTCCAAAACACATAGAAACCTTAATAGACCAGACTGCAACACAGCTGCAGCTTGATTCCAAACAGGTGTGTTGTTCGACACTGCACTTTGACAGCAGCATTGATATGTTGTTATAGTTTGTGCTATTTTTAGTCTTTCAGTATTGTTCTCTCTGCTTGTCTTTCAACAACACATAGAGAACCACACGCCCCTGTAACGCCCCTGGATGTATTATGAATGTTCAGTTAATACCTCTTGTGCCGTAGTAGAGTTATCGTGGGTTTCTTCTTACTAAAATTTTGTTGTAAAAGTTTGTTGAGTGCAAGTTCACACCAAACACCAAAACCATATATGAGCTGTCAGTGTCAGACTGTTGTGAAATGGATACCGCTGGATACTGAACCCATTTTCCTAAAATAGTTTTTGACAATATATGTGTTACAGTATAAATCACAAAACATTGGCACCTTCATCTTATATGTTGAAAAATAAGTGAGGTGCTACATGGCAGCACATCCATATGGATGATAAATCTGAAGGGGGATGACAATATCTATCGACCCAGGCCTCCTCCAACTTGGCAGTCTGTCAATTTCCCCGAGTCTCTAAACAGAGAAAGCATCATTTACCCTTCTGTACTCTCCAAGCACTCCTCCATATTGATCTGCTGTGATGCTGAAAAACAATCGGAGATGTGCCACTCTGTAGTCAAAGTGATCAATAATGTGGGCTTGCTTTGTTTTGTTTAATGTGCCGACAGAGCCGTCTTTACTTTAGCTCGTGCGAGGTTCAAAGGATCTGGGGTTTTTGAAGGCAGGTCAGATTCTAGTTTTGCATCAAAGTTGCTCATATTGGTTTGACTGTAAAGGGCGTTCTGCCTCTGGATAATCTTTTCAAAAGGTGGGGGGAGAATGGAAAACTACAAGCTGAACATGTTCATATTAACTAGTTTGTTTAAAAAAAAAACTTCATTATTTACAGTCCTTAAATGTCTCTTTTGGTAGCTAACTGTCTGTATGTCCACTATTGATATTAAAAACAATATAAAAATAAATTTACTAAAATGTTAATAATTCTTGCACTGAATTATCAAAATATAATTTTTATCAAAATGTATATTTCTTAATTGCAACTAAAAGCCGTGGCTATCTCACCCACTAGCTCTCTCTTGCTGAGTGCATGTAAATTGTACATTTCTATGGCAAAATGTTTCAATAACATTTGTAGTTAAACAGATGTCAAAAGGCCATGTTTAGTTTTTAAGTCAATTTAACCAAATTTGTAGTTAGCCTGTAAGGATTGTCTCAGCAACATTTTGTACTTGTTATATTTGAATGTTACTAAAATGTATTTGTTTATTTATGTGTTAATTTTTTGCCTTTTTGTTTGTGTACATAATTGCCTGGATGGGACACGAATGAATTAATGCCATGGCACCAAAACCTGAGTTAGAATTAGCTGCTGCAGAAATAACATGCAGAGAAATCAACATCACCATCACAGCTGTGGATAAAACACACCGTTACCATAGCTGCGATGTGTGTTATATATTTGGGCCAAGATCAGCCCCATGCACAGTATCTGTCTAATCCTGAATGACAGTCTAATGTATGGGACCTGTAAACTCCGTTTACAGGGGAACATCTGAACTAAGGTATTCTCACTCCCTTGCACACTCACATACACACCTGTGTCTGTGAGTGACATAGTCTGTATTGAATTCCTACCCACCTGTGTCAGGTGTGTGGCTGCGGGAAGGCAGACAGCTGTACAGAGCTCAGCGGTGACTGTTCTGCTCTGTAATCCTCGGTAAAGTCCCTGTGACAACCTGCGGCGGCTGCTTCAAAGGCAGGATCTGTTTCACATGTTCCCTCTGCTCCTCTCAGGATCATTCGCTGCTATCACAACCAGACCAGCTGGTGTGTTGCTGAATGCAAAACGGAGGGACACTGAGTTGCTTGTGAAATTGTTGGCATGGTACAAATCAATTTAAGATATAGCTTTAACAGTAATTAATGAGAGATTAAATTAGAAAAATCAGGCGAAAAGACAATACCCTCAGGGCTTTGACAAAAAGAAAAAAGTACATTATTATTACGTCAAAGATATAAAATAACTCAAATATGCTCTGAAAGATTGCTAAATTTTAAAACATACAGTTACAGTAACAGCAATACCTACCCAAAGTTTGCTAACATTAGCTAACATTAGCCATCATAAACTACTGGTCATACCAGACTAAGTAAAGCTGTAGCAGCAAAACCTTCAGGTGAACTGAACTGAGCTGGATTAATTTCACTTAACGTTTGGAAGTGAAACAAGGTGGACTATTTTATTCTCAAGTATTTTCATGTAGTCTGAACTAGTAAGTTAATAATTACCAACGGGACAACTGATATGAATTTCCTCTGACTTTGTGCTACGTGTCTCTTTTTAAAAGGCTTTCTGTTTTTGCGTTTCTCACAATAGTCAATCCCCTCACTGTTTCAGGTCAAAGTGAACACACCAGACATCTCAAGTTGTCCCAAAGGGGCATTGCAGTCGTTGTCCCGCAGGGAAATACAGAGCTTTGTCCCAGTATTGTCCTTGATCACTGAGGATACAATACGTGTGACTATGGCTGAAGAGCTGCTCTTCAAATGAGCTGTTAACTCACCTGGATGGAATGTGTCACACATGCACACACACACACACACACACACACACACACACACACACACTATCATGAAAGACCAGTGCTGAGTAAAGGATGAGTTATATGCAGGGAACGTGGTGTTTTAATTGAGTTTGAGTGGTTTTAAACTTTATATCCTAAATATTATTAAATCAGAGAGACTGCTGATTCGTCTGATACCTGCTTGCCCTGGTAACTGTTTTTGGAGTGGCTTGGAAAAGTTAGGCTACGTTAGCTCTTTGTTTTCTTTGTTAGTTTAAGTTGCCCTGCTCTGTAGCTCCTATTAGCTAGCAGGTCAAGAATAGGAATAAACTACTTTAATGCTGCATTCACAACATATTGGCAGATGAACAAGAAAACCTCCCATTATTCTGTATTTGTTGTCCACATTTATTATGTATATATAATTTTTTTTTTATTTAACTAGCAGCAATAGCATTTTTACCACCAGCTTGTTGACACTGATGCTGTTCTTCTTAAAGGAGCTTTGCTATTGCTACATAGCCAACGTTAGCATTAACAGCTGTTTACTTACCAGTCTAGCAGAGACGTTGTTCAGCATCAAACTTCATTCTTTTACTCTGTGGAAAGCCACGCCAAT